TTAACAGAGCTTGTATTTTATTTTTTGTTGTTGTTTTTTTTTTAATCACCCTCACAAAAAAATGGACTTTTGGAGCTGAGCAATTCAAGATGGCTGCCACAGTTAATCAATGTTAGCCAGATGCAAAAATGGTCCCAACTCTGTTAATTTTACAAGTATCAAGCTTAAATTTGATGTGGTAGTAGCTGAGGGTTATCCAAAGCACATAGTTTGCGCATAACATCTCAAGACACTTCCTGAGATTGTGCACGTTATTTTAAAAACAACTTCACCTCCAACATTTCAAGACAAAATCATCTTAAAACAGGAATGAAATCTTCATTAGTCCTTTAACTCCCAGCTCATTTTTTATAATTCGTTTAGTCAAATATTTTTAAAACAGACTTTTTGAATCGATTATTTACATCTTATTCTTTATTATTCTTTCCACCCATGGTAGGTCTTATGGGTTGAAAACAGCCACACATTTATTGTTCTTTGTTTTAATTGATTTATTTGGAGTTGTCAACAAACATCTTTCACATTTTTATTCAACTTTGTCCAAATAAGTGCTCCCATAACTGCCAGTCACTTTGCTGCCACTTCAGAGAACTACACGGACCTATTGAACCCATTAATGTGGATATTTGTGATCCCATATTGATCACATCATAAACTGGATTCCTTTCAGTTTTTATCTCCATCCTTCCACCTTTTAGTTTCATATTATCCCACTAGGTGGCGGTCCAATTTCAGATTTGAAGGATGCTGTAAAAATTGCCCAGCTGCTGCAGCTTTTGCAGAAAAGGAGCCTTCTATGTGGCTCTACATAACTGTTGAGCCTAATCTCATCTTCTCAGGCAAAATTGCTTTAGTTTAGTCATTAAAAGGAAAGATCTCCAGAGAGTGGTGAAGGCTGCACAGAAGGCTGTTGGAGTCAGTCTCCCCACCATCACAGACACCTCCAGATGCAGGAAGAGGGACACCTGCACCATGAAAGACCCCACTCACCCAGCACACACACTTTTTGCCCCGCTCCCCTCAGGCAGAAGGTTAAGGAGCATTAAGTGTAGAACCACTAGACCATACCTGGGCATTGTACGGCCCCAGGGCCACATGCGGCCCTTTGGTTGACTCTGACCGGCCCCCGTAAGGGGAATTACAAAATACATATGTAAACAAATGAAGTTAACCAAATCCAGACATAGATCCTCTATCACTGATGATGTCAGCTTTGCTTCACATCTCCACCTCAGACCTTCAACCTGACTTTAACATTTCCGTTAAAGCCCAACAGAGACTAGACTTCTCTCACTAAACAAGAAAAAAGAACTGATAAACACCAAATGAGATGTTTAGACTACAAATGTAGGCACGTAAAGAACCGGGACTTGAAATCACAGTTCAGTGACGATCACTATTATATGATGTTTCATAATGTTTGGAGTACAAAGACAATATTGTGATATATTTAGAAAGCTAAGAACTTTTTCCAGCAGTATATAAAACTCAAAATGAGTTTTGGGGTGAATGTGACTGAAAATGATCATTAATATAACGTCACAAATGGTAAAAATGTTAACAGTTTACCATTGTACTGGGAAATTTAATTGAATAAATGACATTTTTTAAGGAAACCTCACTTTTTCGTTGCTTAATCATAACAAATACTCTTACCAGCTTGTTAAAACAGTGCTATGTACTGCTTTTAATAATGAAATACTATTAATATTATGCAGTATTGAGTTAAGTTGAAATCAGGTATCTCTTGTAAATGAGTCCTCGAGGCTCAATGGGATTTACTTGTCTAAATAAAGGTTGAATGAAAAAGTCATTTGTGCCAGCCCTCCACAATATTTGTTGTTTCTCATGTGGCCCCATGGAAAAAATAATTGCCCACCCCTGCACTAGACTGAGGAACAGCTTCTACCCTGAGGCTGTTAGACTCATGAATCTCTTAAGATGCCACTTTAATTGATGTGACTTTATCCATGCCGCTGATTATCCATGCTGCTGATTATCCATGCTGCTGATTATCCTGCTGACTTCTTGCCTTTAAGCTGCTATATTCATATCCATCTGCTCACTAGACTCATTAGATATGTCCATGCAGATATGTTCTTGTTCTGAGTATTTCACCCTGTTTTACTGCACCGATTTATTGTTTTATACACTACTCTTATTTTTACTGTAGTTTATTATTGTCATTGTTTACTGTTATTGTTGTCTGTACTTTATATGTTCTGTCTGGAACAGGTTTCTCTTGTGAATGAGTCCTCGTGGCTCAATAAGACTAGCCTGTATAAATAAATGTTGAATGAATGTTCAGGCTGCTGTTTAATATTTCGTATTATTTTACATTATTAGTGTTCAGTGTATATTTTAGATCCTTGTATACGGTTTCTTTTTATACTTTATATTTTTGCCATTTTGGGGTGTAACTGGGACCTTCAGTACACAGTTTCGTTCCACCTCATGTACCACGTGTGATGCGAATGACGATAAAGAACCTTGAAAAAGCAAAAACACACTCGCGTTGTGCACGAGTATTTGGTACAAACAGTAGATCCACATGCAAGCAGAGTGAAGAACCACGCCTGCCTGGTTTGACTGAAAGCACGGACTCACTGGACTGAAGGACCTGCCACAACCCAGTCTGGTCCCGGTGGATGGTCTTCCTAAAACTCTGGACCGGAATAAATATAATAATAAAAAAAAAAGTCAAAAATCCATTAAGGTGTCCTAATGGGTGGAAATGCCTTACCTATTTTTAATTTTATTTGATCAATTCAAGATCACCTAGTTTATTGTGAACAAAAATACTAAAATAATTTTTAGCAGCACTTCATTTCTCCTCTAAGGAATATTTCATAAAGTTTAAGGACCTTCTGGAGGTTAATGACGGTTTTCTTTTGAAGTAAGGGGATTTTGAACTCTCGTTTCGAGCGTTTTGTTCCTTTTTGCTCAGCAACAGAACCCTAATATCAATTATTAACTCTCCTGACCAACTTTAAGAGCTTCAGAATTGATTAAAACATGAACCTGCAACAAACCATGAACAGAAACATGCATGTGTTTCAAACATTAAGCTCTGACCCATACACGAGTCTAACATTGAACAGCTCAGTTTGAATCATTTCTCCTGTCCAAACACGAGCAGAGCGATATTTTATACTAATTATGACCTATAATTATGATAAATATCTAAACTTTAACTCCTTGATCAAGAAGTAAAAAAACAAATAAAACAATATAGGAGCCACCAGGACTTTGATCCATCTTGATAACTGATATTAATAAATATATATTCTGTATTTTAATTAATATTGTGATACGCAAGACGCAGGAAGAAACTTTTCAAACTTATTGACTTTTCTGAAAAATAATTTATTTCCAGAGTAAAATAAACAATATATTGCCATACAAAAAGTATAAGAAAACCAACAAAGTGAAAAGTGAGACTGCAGAGAGATCAGTGGAGGAATAAACTCGTTTTGTTTCTGGAGCTTTGTGTTAAATAACACAGGCCTACATTAAAGACAAAATCTGCTTTTATTTTTTTTTCATTTCGCCCTTCAATATTAAAACATATATTTATAATTCCTATTAAATATCCCAACATTTCTTCCTGATAACGCACAAACATCCTGAACATTTAGGTTACATTTAATTTATTCTGTTCTGTCGAGCACGTTCTATTAACACATCCTGGGCCCGAAGAACCAAAAGCTACGAATTTTTACAACTATAGAGTTCTTCATTCCTCCACCACTCCTCACAGAAGCCAAAACTGAACACGTGTTCGTGTAATCCCTTTTTAAGACGCATCAGTCTGAACGAACTCTGCAGACAAAACACGGAGATGAAACAAACCGCTGCAGTGAAAACAACAAGCCGACATGTCCGACAAGAAAAAACAAAACAAACCCTACCGATAGTTACAAACGTGGAACATGTCGGGTCTGAATTGCACCTATGAGACGAGACTTCACCAGTCTAGCATAAGCAAGTGATTCAAAAACAGATTCTACGATCCAGCGAGTGAACGAGAACATCCAATAGGCCACTATAGGAGCCCGGTCCGAGCGCTTCTATTAGAAGAAACCATCCTGCACTAAACAAAGCACAGCGACTGATCGGCTACGAGTCTGTAAACACTTGGCAACGTTGAACCGACTAAAGAACCCTCCCAAATGGCTCGCCCTCTTTGAGCCATACATCTAAATACTGCGAGCGACAGAACACACAGTGCTGACCAACAAGGATCTGGTTTTTCCCCACACAGATTACCAAAGTCCTGACAAATAGGGATGCACGATATTAGATTTTTGGCTGATATCCAATATATTATAACTTATTTGGCCGATAACCGATATTGATATGATATGCAGATGCCAAAAACGGGGCTGAAAATGATGTAACACTTCAACTTGGATTATGCTTAATGTCCAATTTATTACTCTCTAACACAATGACAACATCTGAACAGGGCAAATTTGTAAATTTTCACTAATCTAAACTCAGCATGTTCACAAGCGACAAGTGAAAAGAGCATAAGTAGTAGTGCATAGTGCATTTTGACTTCTTCTTCTCCGCCGTGATCAGATCAGGTAGGCGCGCGTCACGTCATCACGTTGTGCAGGTGCTGCAGGCATCCTTGTCGCTGCCTTTTATATCGGTGAGTTATTTTGATGGATGTACGATATTTAACGCTAATGCTAATATCAGCCGATACCGATACCATGCCGATAATATTGTGCATCCCTACTGACAAACCCCTAAAACAATGACTATAACTGTACTAACGAAGGACTTGACCTAAGCAGGATTATAGTTGTCTTCTACCACCAAGTCAACACAGGAACTCACTGGCTCCACTCAACAACCGTCCTGCTGAGGAACGCTCGAATGGATCCTTTAGAAAAGCACGTGCAGTTCGGAGCCTGATCGGGTTTTTGTCCTTTCAAGAAAAGAAAAACAGTAACATTTCTAGGAACGACTGTGAATGTCTGCATCCTCTTTTATAAAACCGACTCCATGTTTTCACAAAACTCGTGGTCCTCGAGGTTGTATATAAACTTTGTCCTGTCCGTGGACTTTGGACCATCGTTGAGAGACGGGTAAAACTCCGTCTGCGTCAAGGGGTCCTCGTTTCCTTTGATGTACTTCTTGTAGTTCCTGCGCAAGCAATACCACGCAGTGCTGTACAGGAGGAAGGCCACGCTCTTGAGGATGATGGCCAGGCTCACGTAGAGGTGTCTGTATTTCACGTTGTCGTACAGCAGGCAGGCGCCCTGCTCGCCGCAGTCCGAGCTCCAGAAAAGGCAAGTGGAGTCGATCCCAGCACCGAAGATCAGAGGAGGGGGTATGAATCCTGCAAGAAACAAACAGTCGCTGAGCAAGTTAACCTCGTGGCCCTCGTCTCCCTGAAAAATACAGAATATATTGAACAAAAATATAAACTTTTGTTTTTGCTTCCATTTTACATGAGCTTAACTTAAAGACTTTTCTACGTGCACTAAAATTCTTCTTCTCTCAAACATTGTTCACAAATTAGTGTAAATCTGTGTTAGTGAACACCTCCTTTCCTTCCTTCTGCTAATCCATCTACCTCACAGGTGTGGTATAGCAAGATGCTCATTATACAGCACGATTATTGCACAGGTGTACAGCCCGACCGATATATCCGTAGGGCCGATAATTTAGGCCGATATAAACATTTGGGGACCTATCAGTATCGGTGATAATTGTCTTGTTATGTACCGATATAAACACTTATAATTTTCACTCCTAAAATGCTGTGAACCAGCTGTAATTGTACACTGTATCCAGCAGAGGGCGCATGAAGACCAGTTTCAAGTCATGGCCATTAGGTTTCACATTCAAGGCAGAAGAAGCAGCGCGCAATACTGTGTAGAGTATTTTGCTGAACAGAGCATGGTAAGTTTATTTTAACTGATCTGTAAAATATAAAAAAACAACTATAATAAATTCTATTCAATCCTTCAACCTGTTTGTCATTAGCTACGTGCCTCACAAGTTAGCAAGCTAATGTTTAGATAACCTAGGCTATTACCTTGTAAAACTTTATCCAGAACATCAAAGTTCATGCTCAATAATCCAGGTAAAAAATCCAACATTAAGTCAGGTCCTCTGGACGGTTTATTTTTGTTGAAACGTTTCGTCTTTCATCCAAAAGACTTCATCAGTCTGAGGAGCCACAACAAACTCAGTCTTATAAATAGCACCTTCACATAGTGGGTCAACCAGTTTGATGGTGCTAAGATGGTTGCTGGAGTCCATCCTCTCTCCTGTCGATTCGTTTGAGGCAGCCATGGCCAAAGTAGTTCAAAACATCAAAGTTCATGCTCAGTAATCCAGGTAAAATAAAAACTTAACTTTGTTGGATTTATCCAGAACAATAAATCTAACATAGCGGTAAATATATATCAGTGTTAGTAACATTATCTTTGTTGTCCTCAATGAAATGCATTGTTTGTCTGAAATCTTTTCTTCTCTGCAAAGAAAAAAAATCTCTGCTGCAGTCAGTACTAATTAGAGCTTCACCATACACGACTGACTGTTTGAACAATGAACAGGGACAGGAGTTTCTTTGTTTAATTTATATTTCGTATGTAACACACTTGGAGAAGCCAGCTTCTGTAGCTGAGGATCAGACCGACAGGTCCCCGCCCTCGGCCACCACCCATTCCACATTGCACCCGACCCCCTTGGCCCCTCCCACAGGTGGTGAGCCCACGTCTCCACTTGGGGCTGTGGCAGGCCGGGCTCCATGGGTGAAAGCCTGGCCACCAGGCGCTCACCAGCGTGCCCCACCTCCAAGCCCGGCTCCAGAGTGGGACCCCAATGACCCACATTCGGGCAAGGGAGCATTGTTTCCATTTACTTGATTCATCATAAGGGGTCTTTGGGCTGCACTTTGTCTGGTCCCTCACCTAGGACCTGTCTGCCTTGGGTGACCCTACTAGGGGCATGAAGCCCCCGACAGCATAGCTCCTAGGATCATTGGGACACTCAAACCCCTCCACCATGGTAAGGTGGCAGCCCAGGGAGGGGCTGCTTCTCCACGTTGAGAGAAGCCAGTTAGGGTGGCTCAGGCATCTGGTTAGGATGCCTCCTGGATGCCTCCCTGGTGAGGTGTTCCGGACACGTCCCACCAGGAGGAGACCAGAGGAAGACCCAGGACACACTGGAGGGACTATTTTTCTCAGCTGACCTGGGAACGCCTTGGGATTCCCCCAGAGGAGCTGGCCCAAGTGGCTGGGGAGAGGGAAGTCTGGGCCTCCCTACTTAGACTGCTACCCTGCAACCTGACCCCGGATAAGCAGAAGAAAATGGATGGATGGTAACACACTTGATAACTTTATGGTGAATACAGGAGGATAAAAAATGTGAACGCACATTAGGAACTGTTTTTATGACCAGTTGTAAAACTACTGTGGGACTAATTAAAGCATGGATCTGATTAGCTTAGCTTCATGGTTGCTAACAGCAGCGCTAAATAAACAAAGCCCGCTCCACTCGCTGTTTTCTTAGATTCTTCAAGGTGGACAAAACTCTGAAATTTTTTCCCATTATATCAGTTATCAGCATCAGCCTACCCCTCTCAATATTGGTATTGACAATAGCCAAAATGTCCATATCGGTCTGGCTCTACACAGGTGTGCCTTAGGCTGACCACAATAAAAGGCCACTCTAAAATGTGCAGCTTTATCTCACAGCACAACGCCACAGGTGTCCCAAGTTTCTGAGGGCGATATGCATTCCTTTAAGTTAGAGTGGTTTCATTTTTAAATGGTGCCTTTAGGATCAGTTGTTAGAATAAATCCTGTTCCACAGCTCTGCTGCTCGAGGCTTTTTTGAAGACTTTGTAAAAAAAAACAAAAAAACCTAAACGACACTGACATGGATCAGTTTTAGATGACTCTGGTAGTTTTCTTGGACTTCTGACATCATATATCTGACGCTCTGTTAAAAATCTTGGTGTAAAATTTGTACGATTGTTTAAATCTGATCAGTTCAAAACGCGTTCTTTTCAACCACATGATGTTTGCGTCCAGAAAGGAGTTCTAGTTCTTTCCCAGAAACTCCAAAAGGTATTCAAGGTTTTATTTTGACACAAATGAACGTAAGTGACCGTTTGTGGGGATGAATCTGTCGTCTTATCATTTGTGGCTGCAGAAACAACAGAACGTGAGCGTTAATCAACGGCAGTGATCTTCAGATAGACATTTCTTACCGAAAAGCCGTAGAAGAAGGAACAAGACTCCGAGCGCGTAGGATTTCAGTTCAGGGCTCACCGACCTTCAGAAGACGAATAAAAAGAACTTGTTTGAATTTGTTTGAAAACGATTCTTGGGGCTGATCTCGCTCATGAAGTCCAGCGACAGCCCCACCTGATGAGGACGATGACGGAGGGCGTCTGGGCCATGGCCCCCACCAGGCTGCAGAGACAGATCACGCACAGGAAGATGAGGAAAGCCTCCTGGCAGCCTGGCATCGGACATTTCCCTGGAAGCGCATGGGCGGCGTCACTTTCAGCAGATATACACGTACATCCTGTCAGGTTCTGTGAGGGGGGGGGCAAAAGAAAGCTGAGATGAAACGGAGCGCTCCACACTCGTGAAGATAAATTAGAGCTGAGAAGAAACAGGAACGCAGAGACGAGATACGAGTACAGAACAAATTTACAACAGACTGCGTCATTTAATCAGATTTGTTAGCGGTCGGTCTCGTGGCGCAGCAGCTAGCTTAATATCCCCGTGCCCTTCTCGTACGTGACGTTTCTGCTGGTTCTGACAAAGCGAGGGAAAAGGTGAGGACCTGCGAGATGTTGGACTGATGGACTCCCGCTCGGCTGCAGCCGGCGAAGCAGGCAGACAGGTAGGTGACGCCGTTGGAGCCGCAGACGGGGCTGATGGAGGAGGTGAAGCAGGTGCAGTGACTGATGCACTGAGCGTCGGGCTTCTGTCCAACGTTCAGAGTCCTGAACAAAAACATGAAGGAAAAAAGTCTAAAGTTTGGTTTCAAGATGGCAGCCGAAGCTAAATGACAGCAGCAAACGCAAATACGGCTTAACTGCAGTCAACTTTGTTGCGTTACAACTTGGTGTGGAGGTAGCTGAGAGTCATCCCTAACTCATACTCTGAGAGCTAACAGATGTTTGAAACATCTGTGTGAGGACGGATTCATAAATATCTGAGGCTCTCTCATCTCTGGCTTTCTGTCAAATTTTAAGTTATTTTCACGATGGTTTTAATGACTGAATAACGGATTCCATCATCGTTTATATATTTAATTAATAAATTATAACTTTAAATCTTTTGATGTTATACATTTATCTCGTTGTGTGAGGGGAGGTCACGCCGAGAAACACAATAAAGTGTATTATATTATTCAATTATTACATCTATAATTTAAATATACTTATGATTTTATAGTCTGTAATTTCATTTATGTTATTGTTTTTATTTACCGTATTTTCTGGCGTATAAGTCACATCAGTCAAAAAAGAGGAAAAAACATACAAGTCGCATTTATTGCGTCACCGCTGACCCGTCGCATTTATTATGCGTTTATTTAATGGTCAAAACAGTTTCATTTCGCCTGGGCGGTGTGGTGCCATCCATCCATCCAGCCATCATCCATCCATCCATCCATCCATCCATCCATCCATCCATCCATCCATCCATCCACCCATCCATCCACCCATCCATCCATCCACTCATCCATCCATCCATCCATCCGCATCCATCCACATCCATTCATCCATCCATCCATCCATCCGCATCCATCCAACCATCCACATCCATCCATCCATCCACATCCATCCACATCCATCCATCCATCCAGCCACATCCATCCATCCATCCACATCCATCCATCCATCCATCCATCCATCCATCCATCCATCCATCCATCCATCCATCCATCCATCCATCCATCCATCCATCCATCCATCGTGGCAGGAGCTGCTAGCTCTCCAGTGTTCCTTCGCCTGCACCAGCTGAGTGAAGCGAGCACGGGAGGACTCGCTGTTGCAGTTCTTCGAAATTTAAAGCATCAGTCAAAAATTGCGTTATGAATATGGGAAGAAAAAGTATATGTCACAGGACTGACAAATTATGCAAAAACTGCGACTTATATGCTGAAAAATAGGGTATTTAATAGAATTAGCGATGCGGTTAGCCAATAAACAGGCTGTTCTCAGTGCAGACACATTTAATGAAGCGGGCGACTTCAATAATTGTTTCTGACCTTCATGTCCATGTTTGTTTTTTATTGATTTTTATTGATTTTTGTCTTTTAATGACGAGTGTCCTCTTAGTCTCCACGTTGTCAAATAGTGTTGAAAGCTTCAGGGTTCACTGGACAGCCGGTCACCTTTTCAAAGAAGCTCTTCAACGTTTGTCGTTAACTCATTTTTGCTAAAGTTAGTTTGAGAGTTTACCGGTGAATGAAAATAAATAAATAAATAAATAGAATTAAATTAACTGTGACTGAGTCAAGTGCTAAAATCGCGAGGACAGCAATGATTGATTTTCAAAATGAAATATCATACACACTAATGAAAATAGAAATAAAAATCTAAACAAAACTTTGTACTTTTTCTATGTGGTCCGGTACCACATGATCCAAGGCCCGGTACTGGTGCCCAACCCAGTGGATGGGGATGCCTGATTAATCTAATCTAATCTGGATTATTTAAATGTTGAACACTTTTCTGGTCATGAAATCGAGTCAGTGCAGCGATGAAAACCTACAGATGTTTATTTTGTCCTGCACACTTGGTGTTCCTGACGACAACACAGTTTGTTGTTGTTTGTAAAACTGAAAAATAAACAAGTGTTTTCCTGGCGTTTAAACAAGAAAAGAATGAAGTCATTTACTGCTGATCAGAACAATTCAGTGGCTTAAACTCACGACTTCAGAGGGATTGTTTGTGTTGGTTTATCTGAAGAGCCCAGTTCGTTCTAACAGAGTAATAAAAAAACAAAAACCCCAGAGTTTCTTACTCGTTGCCGTACGAGACGGTGACTCCAGCGACGGGACCCGTGTCGCAGCCCAAGAACAGGAAGGAGATGTAGCAGGCCGTGGAGACCAGGTTGACCATCATGGCCATGCGGATGGCTCCAAGAGCAGAGAGGTTCAGCTTCTTCACCAGCAGGCCGCCTATGAAGATCCCCAGACACGCGCATGGAATGGCTGTCATACCTGGAAGCAGGAAGGAGGCGGTTGAAACGTGTCTGTCAGCGAGTGCACGTGCGAGCTCCCACGTGTGACATGCAGCGGACCTAACAGCTGGTTTGCCGAGGTGGTGGTGAGGTTGAACTGCTGCTCCAGGTATTTCCCCAGGAAGGCTGCGAAGCCCGCCACGACGGCCACCTCCATGCAGGCTGCCAGGACGATGCAGGTGAACACCGGGTTGGACAGCAGGTGCTTTGTCACTTTGGGGATCACTGATCAGAAACATGCAGGAAGGATGACATTCTCCTCACGCCTTTGTTCGTTGTGAGCAAAATCTCACATGAGTAATGAAGCATCATCATGCAGTACTCACCTCTCAGCTGCTGCCAGCAGGTGGCGCTGTTGCCAGGCTCATGGCTTAGCACCACTCCATTGCTGGTCTTTGAAGTGTCCGAATCGGGGCTGAGGGGTGGAGGGAGCATCACCTGCTTGCTCTCTGTTCCCTCGTCTCTCTCCTTCGTCGGCAGCGAGTGAGGGAAGCCGAACATGAAGAGGGCCGAGCAAAACAGTAAGGCACCGCACAGGAGGAAGCCGGCCCACCAGGCCCCGATCCACCGCGGGTCGTCTGGAGTGATGCCCAGCACATCTGCGGACAAGCGTGAAACTAGTCATGAGCCGCACCCGGAGAGAACCTCACAGAAAGAAACGACAACATGAGAGGAAACTGAACTCACCTGTGTCAATGAAGATGAAGTCCACGTAGAACTTAGTGCAGACGGAGCCGAGGATGAAGCCACAGGCGGGTCCGAACACCAGGGTAGAGAAAAGGATTCCTGCACCGAGAGGAGAATGAGCTTTATCGACCAAATTAATCAAAACATTCTCTACAGTATGTCCCGATGCTGCTCAATAATCCAGGTAGATCTAACCTGGTTGAGTCAGGTCTCTGGACGGGTCATCTTTCATCCCAAAGACTGACAGACTGAAGAAGTCTTTGGGATTAAAGACAAAACTTTTCAACAGAGAAGAATCAGTCCAGAGGACCTGGCTCAACCTGGTTAGATTCTCTATAGCTGTGCTTCCCAAAGTTGGGGTTAGGACCACACTCTTGGTCCTGAAACACTTTTTACTTGGCTTATTGGTAATGTTTGCGTATTTTATCCAGCAGTAGTCGGGGTCATAAGTCTCTGCCACAGTTGTTTTGTGGGTCAGAAATGGAAATGTTTGACTCTATATTGCTCCTAATATATTTTGGATATTGCTAACCGCTTCTGGTAAAGAAAAAAGACACCAGCTAGACACCACTTCAGGGTATATAAATAACTCAAACTGTTTAGTGCATAAACTCAAACTCAAGGCCCGGGGGCCAAATGTGGCCCTCGCTGACATCTTATCTGGCCCCAAAGATGTTATTTTAAATGTAATATACTTTTATTACTTGAATTTTTTTTCAGTAATCTTTGATTATGATGTTGAAAGCACAACAGAGAACATCAAATGAGATCAATCAAACTTTTGTTGAGGAACCTGCAACCAAAAACAAGATGTTTGGCATCTGACTTGAGCTAATGAAGATTCTAAAACCGGCCCTTAGTTTGAAAAAGGTTTTAATTTTGGCCCCCTTGTGTAAGTGGGTTTGACACTCCTTGTCTAGTGCAATGATCGGTGTGAACACATAGAGTAACATCCCCAAAAAGTGCTGCAGACCAAGCACAGGCTGTTCCCTAAATCAAGACAAAAAAAAAAACCTGCTGAGGAACAACTCAAGAACCTTAATAAAGGCCTCAAAGTGTTGACCCAGCCTTTAAACTTCCAGGGAGCAAGAATGATAATCATTTTGAGACACCAATGCAAGTTCAGTCCAGAGGCATCCACCTGCATCAAACTAGGCTTCATTAATCCAAAATCCTGTAGAAGGTTGTTGGAAAACCTGTTTTACGACAACAAACCAGACAAACTGGTTTTTCAAGTCTAATAGGTGAACACTTTAAGACATAGCTAGGTGAACACTTTAAGACATAGCTTCTCTCCATTGGCTCCCTGTCAAATTCAGAATTGAATTCAAAATCTTACTTCTAACCTACAAAGTCCTCAACAACCTAGCTCCATCTTATATTACAGATCTTACTGTTCCATATTTTTCTAACAGAGCACTTTGCTCTCAGGCTGCAGGTTTACTCGCGGTTCCTAGAGTTTCCAAAAACAGAATGGGAGGAAGATCTTCCAGTTTTCAGGCTCCTCTCTTGTGGAACCAACTTCCAGTTTCTGTCCGTGAGGCTGACACATTGTCCAGTTTTAAGACTGGACTTAAGACTTTCCTTTTTGATAAATCCTATAGTTAGGGTTGGCTTGGGTTTCCTGAGCTATTCCTTAGTTATGCTGCTATAGGCTTAGACTGCTGGAGGACAAACTGACCACACTTTTTCACTCTGCTTCTGTCTTTACTTACGCTACTCAACCTGTTTGTATTTGTAACTATTTCTATTCTTGTCATGTGTTTTTTGTCTTTCTTCCAATAGGAGGTACACCTGCACCTACATATGGACCTGCCATTCTGTGTTCATGTGCTTCTCCTTCCTGTTCCTCTCAAACCCAGCCAGTAGACGAGATGGCCGCTTGTCCTGAGCCTGGTTCTGCTGGAGATTTATTCCTGCTAAAAGGGAGTTTTTCTTTTCCACTGTTGCCACTGTGCTTGCGCAGGATGGGAGACTGTGACGAAGTGAAGACTCAACGCGTCTGCTGCTTCCTTAGATAGAGAACTTTACTAATTGGCTTTATTATGTACTGTATATAAATGTTTCTGTTCAGTGCCCTGAGATGACTTCTGTTGTGACTTGGCGCTACATAAATAAACTGAATTGAAATGAATCATGACATCCACGTCAGTTAAAATCACAAAGATTGCGTTTTGTCTAGAAAACATCTTCAAACATTTTTCTGTCTGCCTCAACAACCAAACAGGATGAAAAAAAAAAAAAGTTTTAAGTGTTGCCCCATTTTCACCGTTCAAGTGTCGTTACAGCGTGAAGCATGACGGCAAACAGGGAAGCATTTCTGCTGTCATGAGCGATCAGATCAGTCAGTTATAAAACCACAAGGCGAGTGCAGCAGGGGCGGCGGGACACGCTGCGACTCTGCAGCTTAAGACTCGTGTGGTTTATTCCTTCCAAGCTGAACAGATAAACCTGCTGCAAGGAAACGAAAGACCCTGACGTCAGATTTTTTTTGTCATTATCTGCTCCAGTGGTTCAGTTTGGATCTGGATCTAAAATTGTAACGAGAGCGCCGTCAGCGGGGCGTGAGCCCGGCCCTGTGACTCGGTCCGCAGGCAGATCATGAAGACTCCAAGCTTGGGAGGCAAATTTCCTCATTGATGCTGAATCCTGTGATATTTATTGTTATAAGACTGTCGGGGCGGAACAATGCACCCAACATGGAGCCACAAACCAGGCTGAATGTCACCCCCACTGCTCAGAGAAAAGTTCAAGTTGTGACGCCCCTCCACTGGCCTCAGATCAGCCTGAGCACCAGCACTGCCAGCCTGCTCTGATGCCACATTGCAGCCACTATGTAAAACGTGGAAACTGTGACTAATCTTTGTGCTTTTTTTTTTTCCCAGTGCAGAAAGTAAAGTCATGGTCTGCTTCCTGTTCAGACCACCCACATAGGAAGGGAGTCAACACAGCCACATCTGAACGTTGCCTCATTCACACCGTAGTTCACTCTTTGCAGGAAATGACTCACAGATTTGTGAAGCAGAGCTAAAACCTATCATACAAGATCTTTTAGCTAAAAGATGGGCTGAAACAAGAGAACTGCATACGACACATAACTATTATACAGCAGTTTAGAGCAATGGTCCAGACAAGCAAAGACCTTGTTTTAACTTTGACTTTGGAGCTATGATGAAAAGTGTATGTTTGGTTTAATTAGCTTGGGCGGATTAGAAGTTATGGGCAGGACATACAGAGGCTATACCATAGCACGTCTGCCTTTTGACAGGTGTATAAGAAATGAGGAACCTTTCTTGATGGGTCAGGAATGTTTGGTCTTTGTTTGTTTTCCTCATACAACCACAAGTGAAAGATGCCTGTGGTTGACAGACTAACCAGCACCGTGCAGATGTTTCCATGAGTCACCAACGATCGACAGGTTTTTACCTCTTTCAGATTCTAAAACGTGAAAAGCCTATAGGGACTCCAAAAAAGTTAAATCAGGTCCTCTGGACATTCAAAAAACAAGAAAACAAAAAAACAAAACAAACAAAAAAAATTTAAAAAAAGCAAAAAAAATGTAGAAACGTTTCGTCTCTCATCCGAGAGACTTCCCCAGTCTTTGCCGTAATGTATTTTGGGGTTTAAAAGCCACTGGGACGTTATGTTTAGAAAATAAACGTCTCAGTTTCTCTGATAC